TCACTTTCGTTTACGAAGTAGGGGCATATGCTAGTCTATATATAAAAAAGAGTAAATTACGAAATTTTCAAAATGGCTTATAATCAAGGGCCGGACGGCTTTTGGTGATAACTGACATGCGTGTAGATACGAGAATCGACAAGCATCTAGATACGAATATTCTTTAGGAAACGTGAATAATGATTGACATTATCATCGGTCCAGAAGCAATGTTACATAAGCATATAAGCATTAAGTATTAACTTTTGAATTTTCAAACTCGACAAGCTTTTGGAACATGAGGAGAAATTATCGCTCTCATACATGTATAAAGTTTGGCAAATCAGCTAGAAGTTAATGATTTTTGAACCTCTTCACATCCTTAAAGCGACTTTCAAATTATTGGTAAATTATAATATAATCTGGTCTTGAAATCTTTCACTTTAAAGACCACGCCGCCTTCTAGGGATAATTCCACATATCGGGATAATTGTGATTCGACAGTTTTTTCTTAACTTTAAAAAAAAGATGGAGACCTCTGAAACACTTTTGGCTCTCTATAATCCAGAAACACACCTGGCTCCCTATAATCAATAAGAATTTGTGGACGTCTGGAAAAAAGAAGACGTTCCTATAAAAAAAGAGAACATCTGTCTTGTACGAAGATAAACCGCATGGAATTAACCTTTAACTTGGGAGGTGAAATTTTTGAACATATTTTTTTGGATGTGGTGTAAATTTTACCACAAAATATTAGACATTAAAATATTAGTCTACAGAATTCATTGAGGTCCTAAATAAACCCATTTCATGATCTATTCCTTCTATTACCCGGTTTAAATTTTGTACTGGGGCACATTTTCAATCTATTCCATTGGATTCCATTTTAAAAAGAAATCCTGATACAATTTTCTATTCCAATTTTTTTCTTATTTCCCTCTTATTTAGTAATTGACGGGGTAACAACACATCCATATAAGTTGGTTCTTCTCGATTTATTCTTTTGTGGCAAATTTTTCCGGGACACTATTTAGTTGTTATTGTTGTGGATAGGTTTATTTTTTTCGTTTCGTTGCTGGATGTTGCTGTTCGAATGTCTCATTCAATTGCATCCTTGTCGTATTTTTTATGCTACCATAGAGGCATAAAAATGTATTTGTAGAGAAAAAACACACACACATACATAAACAAACTCATGCACTGATATCAGCATATTGAAAAGCATGTAAAATAATAAAGTACCCAGTAGGGATATGTGACTAAGAATTTTACAAAGATCAGCTGTTGGCAAGAGTTTAAAAGGTCGCAAATGACCTTTGATCATAGTACATTTGTCCATTGCCCTTACCAAAAATAGTCAGATTTTCATAATATATTGTCCAGGAATATCTAAAATTTTTTCAGTACCGGAATTTTCTTCTGAAAATATTTACTACTCGCCACAAGTCATGTTTTTCCTAGTGGCTATTTTTGAGATGATAGAAGACAACATTGTATTTGACCAGATATGGACACTGGATAATACTTGTATTCCATTTGAAGTCCGTCCATACTCATTCGTTCATTCATGCATAGTTGCCTTCATTCGGCCATTCATTCATTCATTTGTACGTTCATTCAACCGCTCTTGTATTCATATCATCCATCCATATGTGGTAGGAGGAGAAAGTTATGGAGAGGAAGAGGAGCTACTGGAGCTATATACAAGTGCCACTACAAACATATATATGTGCTTTGTTAGGCATATTGGACGAACACCCACAAACAAACTAACATGAACAGTGTTTTTTTTCTAAAGAAACTGGACAACAGATGATGGTGTCATTGGTCCTTCTTGGACATATTGTTGGGTAACAAATGATTGCGGCACTCGGTTTGTTGCACCAAGAAATGACCAAAAAAACTAACAAAAAAGAAATTTATGAAACAATTCCAACCCAACAACAAAAACAAATGAACACATAGATTTGTGTCTATTTTTCTTTCATTCACTGTGGTGCATGGCAGCATCCCAATCACCTTTCCTTTCGCCCCCTCAATTTGACATATAAAAAATATATATGTATCTGCTAGTTCTCCGCATGGAATAATGTAATACAATTGTTAGACATTTTTGTGGCCAAATTGAAATGCACACAATGACAAGCGTACACGAGACTCATCAGACAGCTCATTGTTGTTGCTGCTGTTGGTGAGTGCGCTAGCCGGACAACCGTTGCAATTGTCTGTTCGATGTTCAGTGTAGACCCCAAAAGAAATTTCCGCCAAAACTGACAATGGTTTTCATAATAAAGATGAACAAAAGAATGTCGGCTGTTCTACTCCACAATTTAGCTAACGCTTATACACAGAGTAGAGGAGTAAGCAGAAATTTAGTATGTCCTCAAACCAACATAGCAATTTGTTAGAAGAAACATGTCACTTGACGGTAAAGGAAGTTGTTAAAGCGGTTATCGAAATATTAAATTTAGCAGAAAATAATATATTCACATTTTTTTTGGAGATTAAAGTGATCGATATATGAAAGGCATAGTTCATGAAATCAATGAATTGGTTCCTAACACGAATTTGTTCATAGAAACTATGAAATAATTCGTAAAAGTGTTCATGGCATTTTTCATTAAATGATCCATAAAAAACATAATGTTTCTATGAAACACTGATGTAGCAAATTAATTTCTATAGAATGGTAAAATGATTTGTAGAGGCGAATAATTATTTATAGGCTAGTTTATAAAATTACGTTAAATAATTCATAAACGTTGCATAGAATCAATGAATTGGTTCAGAGAACATATAAGTCCGAGACGAACTTGTTCAAGGGATCTATTCCGCAAAAGAAACGATCGGTAATAGGTATGGCTTTCGTTTCAACTATTTCCTTTGCTCCAGTCGTTTTTGATCGTTTATTTTTAAGCAACTATTAATTTTTCTTCCCCTTCATTTAGTTAATCTAGCTAATATGATTTCATCCGATCAAAAGAAATAAACGGTAATAGCCCCGACCCGTTCGTTGAACAATTTTCTTTTGTTACAGTCTTTTATTTTTCCTTCCTGTTAGTCTTTTTGGGAGCATAAGGTTTCAACAAAGCATCGCGATTTTATTCGTAATTTCATTATTTTTCCGTTAAGTAAATGATTGGTCTACTGTAGTCTGTCCTAGGTGATGAAGCTGTCATCTATCGTTGCCTAGAAACAACTTATCCTTGTACTATAGTGGTTGGGGTCGTTGCTAATTTAGTGTTGGCATTCTTCTCTGGGTGGCGCTATATCGTTTTTTATCCTTTTTATTTGTGATCGATATTAGAAAAGAGGATTTCGATATTTTTCACCTGGAGGCGGATGTAAGCAAATATTCGATAATCACTTTGGAAAATGAGAACCAATGATGTGTACTTAAAAAAAAGAAAAGTTCATAAATCAAAAGACTACTTCAACCAAATTCGTAGAATAAGAGAATAATTCATAAAGAACATGAATCGGTTCTTAGAATCAATGAATGATTCATTGCAACACTGAACCGGTTCGTAAAAATAATGTATGGTTCATAAATGCGCAGACATTCACGTATAACTATTAATAAGTTCTCAGAGCCGAAATAAGTATTCAAGAAAAACTGCTAGATCGACTGTATAGATACCTATAATAATTCAATGAATAATTAAATGGTTCTTCAAATATTCAAGTAAATTCAAAGAGCTTAACTTCTTTCAAAAGAGTAGAGGTTCATAGAACAGAAGAAATTTTTCAATCGAGAAAAATTATCACAAATTCAGATAATAGCTAATATAATTATGTAGTAAATCATAGAAAATGGATTTTAAACCAAAACAAAGAATTTGTAGCAATAAAGGAAGATTCATAGAATTAATGAAACTGTTCCTAGTATTTATAAATGGTTAATAAATTTGTTGATCATTACGTATAATAAAATGTTGTGTGTTTTACCGTCATAGAATAGTGTGAGAATAAATAAATGGTTCATAGAAACAATGAAATTGTTCATGAATTCGAAGACTTTCACTTTTTTCGGTTCTCAAAGCCGGCTCATAGAATTTCACTAAAGCAAATCGAAAACTATGTTCATATATCCAGATAATTACTGACAGTAGTATTTAAAATCAAATGCCGGAATTTATAAAATGAAAGAATAAATTATAATATCTACAAAAGGTTGATAAATTTCCTGGTAATGCTTGGTAAAAGAATCATTGAATTGTTTATAGAATCAATGAGCCGTTCATAAAAACATAGAATGGAATGTAGACCGTAGATTGTCTCATATGATAAATTTATAGTTCATAGATTCAATGAACAGTTCATAGAATCAATGAACAGTTCATAGAATAAATGAATAGTTCATAGATTCAATAAATACTTTATACATTTAATGTTCATAGAATCAAGCATAAATAAAATAAAAAACTCAGAGAATGGTGTAAATTATAAATGAATGATCTAGAATAAATGTATGGTTCATAGAATTATGAACAAATTCATAAAACCAATGAACCACTCATATCTTTATAGGTAATTTAAATTTTATGAATAGGCTTAGAATATTAGGCAACCCTTGAAAGTATTCCGACACTTTCACATTGTATTGGAAATTTATATTAAAACATTGAGATTTTTTTCGAATATTTTACTGAAATCTTCTTTCCACGTGATCTATGTATGTATTTGAATTTCACAACTCACTTCTTGATATAAATCAAACAAAAGTGTTATCTAAAACGTGAACATTTTTTTGCGTTTTACAAAGTTTTTTCTTTTTCTTTTAAATTTATGTTGAAATTCGATACCGCAAACCACAATTGAGAATAAGGGCGCCATCGATTGCATTAGCAGCTATACTTTTTTTCTAAGGCAACTGAAAAAGGGCGTTCTAGTCAAACGTTCTAGTTATGCGATTTAATTTTTAATTATTTTCATTCATTAATATTTTTTCGAAAGATAAGAAATTTCACTGAAGCAAATCTCAAAACGTCTGGTCAGATTATTTCACAATTTTTACTCACATTGTTGAGATTTTCGACAGATGCTGCGGTACGCTTTCGTGTCGTTTCATCGATAAGCAAATCTTGATCTTCTTGACCCATTTTAAGTGGTTATTAATTGGTTCTAGATTGCAAATTCGTTTACACACACATACACTTTATTTGAAATGATTTATTTGAATTAATTTGTTTTTTTTAAATATTTTTTTATTTCTTATTTTTAGATTTATTCCGTTGAGGTACGCGTTTAGACCGCTGTTGTTCGCAGGGCTATCATTACTAACTGATTGAATGATTAACTGAGAAGAAAAACACAGAGGTAAGTAACTAAATGAGAAGGAGACGATAACAAATTACAGTTAGTTAATGTCGCCGGGCATAGTGTTGCTGGTGCCGCTCCTCCCTTCACATCTTATGCTTTATTTAGTTAGTTAGCCCTGTTAGATAGACAGACGTTTTGTTGGCTGCAGCAAGCGAGCAGTCAGTCCGCTAGCCAGTCATTCAGCAGCATAGAGAACTTTTATGGGTGCACTGCATGCGGATAGACACAGTACGATTTTTGTTGTCAGTCAATTGGAGCAAATGCTTGGCGAGCAGGGCGGCGGCGGTAAAGCAATCCAGTCAGTGTGCAATGGAGATGATGTACACAATGGAGACAATTGTGTAGTATTAGATATGTAGATGAGATTGTGGAATGGTATGAGATTAGATGTCGCGTTTCATGTACTACTATTATGAAGTACTTGGACGGGATGGTTTGGAGGGGATTGGTGTTATCAAGTATGATATGAGATTACCATTAATGCACATAAAGAAATGTGTTTTTTTTATTTATTTATGGACAAAAATTTTGGATATGAATTTTTCTTCGTACAGACAGAATTAATTATTTTTAAAGATAAGCTAAGCTAAAAATTATGAGAAGATAAATGTTGAGGGCACAAATACACGTAAATGTATTGAAATGTATTTTTTTAAATAATGTTGAATTTTTGGGTCACTATTATTATGATTTTATAATCTGAAAGTAGATCACTTACTTCAAAATACTCAAATATGGGGTACACCAAGTCGAATCCGATACTTTTATACCATACACAAATATGTTGTCAGGGTATTATAGCTTTGGTTGGCCCCAAGTGTTTGTAACGCCGCGAAATATTGGCCCTAGACCTACCATGTAGTGAAAATATTGCGATATATTGACCAGACTCTGAATGTAGTTCCGCCAGTGGAAGTTTTTTAGAGTATCATATGGTCGGCTCTGTCTGACTATACCGCTCCGCTCACTGGTTTTATTTTATTTTTACCCATAATGTGTTTGTCGTCGAATATTTTAAAATTTTGTGTCATTCAATTCCATTCAATCACAAGATGGAAGCCTTTAAGAAGTCAAAACACGGATCTATATTGAGGGACTTAGATTGGAACCGAAGTTGAGTTAGTTCGACCTCACATCATATGAGTTTTGTAGTAAGAAGGGCTCCCTCCATCATGGAAGACAGATATCGTTGGGAAATTATCCAAATCCTGTTCAACACCATATACAAAAAATACAAATCAACTATAAGCTGAGGGGAACCTACGAATCATAATAGAACTACCTATAAAATGAAGAACTCACCTGTACCTACTGTTCATCGATCTCAAAAAATCTCTCTACATAACCGGACGAACTCAATATGGAAATAGTTGAGCAAGAGTATGCGGAATCTCATTTTTTCACACAGAAATATAAGCCAACCCTTTCGAACTAACGCGGTTGTAAGACAAAGATGTCCTCTGTCTCCCCGACTCTTCATAAATTGAACCGGAGTAAGAAGGGTAGAAACTTCATGTGAATATCTCACGTCTACTCGCGGACTTAGATTATGCGGATAATTATGTCTGATGATGTCTTAATATGCAATCAATGTTGGACTTGGCCATGAAAATTAAAAAAATCAGTACAGAAAACATCATGCTTGATAGCCCTGCGGCTAGGAAGCACTGTAAAAACAAATAGTGGTGCAGAAATGGACATAATCAATTGGCTAAACAAAACTAGAGTAGCGTTTGGACGACTGTGAGGTATATAGAAAAGCTTGTAAAAATCGATTCTGTTATACGGTAGTGAATCCTGACTTGGGTCTAACACCATAAATAAATGTCTCAGGATCGTAAGCAGAATATTCTGACCCAACACCATAAGTAACGTAGAGCTATGGAACCAGGAACATATACAAAAGCAGATTAACCGTACGAAATGGATATCGATTGACGCATTAAGAAAAATTTCCTTAAGGAGACCCCTCCATTCTCGGGGTCAAAATTTTTGTTGATATAATTCGAATCTACACTAATTATAGAATGTGCCTACAAAATTTCAAATGAAAATCTCAAGAACTCTTGAAGATATAGCCGATTTATTGTGTCAGCATCAAGTGACGGCTAAAGGGCTTATCAAACTTTAAACGCGTTTTTCTCTAAACATTTTTTTGCGAATGGCGGGCACGATAACTTAAAAACTAATAACCCAATCGATTACAAATTTTTACACGTTTCTCTGTGAGTGTATAGCTATCGTATGAACTAGGATAAAGCCAATCGGTGAAGATCTTCCCTATTTTTTAACTTGGTTTCTGGTAAAAATCGGCGATTTTCCAAAAATGGGGGGGGGAGGGGGGTTCCCTTAATATAACCAACATATCGTTAGAATGGAATTTCCAATGATCACGAAATTGGGAAGAAATGCCTGACGATCAATAACCAAAGGACAATGACACAAAAAACCTTACATGGGAAGATCCAAAAAAGAAAACTATCCGAGAGGTTTGAAAAGTCCATCAACATACCCAGACAGAAGCAGAACTTGAAGGCTATGTGAGAACAGGGTTCAATGTTGGACATTTATTCTACAAAAATGTGTTCAACCTTACTAAAAATACGGTCAAAACCTTCCAAAAATAGGATAATACCTTTATAAGGGTTTCATATATACCATAACATGGACCGATATATCTCATTTTCAATAACAAATATCCTCGGAGAAGCAGCAATATGCTTCCAAATGTTCAAATATATATGGTGATTTCATCTGGCAGACGGGTGTAGCAAAATTGACATAAAATTGTATTTTAATCAGGATGATATACATGTCATAGTGTCTTCGATTATTGGGATGATTGGGTTTTTGTTTCAATTTTATATTCATGTACTCATGATTCAACAGTTATGACTTTTAGAGGCAAGCTGGATCGTCGATAGATAACATCGAAGTGTACCAACTCGAGAAATTTGACCTTTTGCAGATTGTGTTATTTTTACTTAAAAACTTAGTGATAAAGAAGGGACAATACAGTTTATCAGTGTAGATTAAGAGCAGAAAAGATGGGTGTTTTTGGTGAATATATACGGGAAAGGTCAATATATGTCTGGACGCCCTTGAAAACTTTTTACACAATTTCAGAACAGTTATACGGATTTCTGCCCCCAAGGATAGAAACGTCGGCTAGATATTTAATGCCAAAAGCCGATGGTGTACTTTTAAAATCAAATAATATAATATTGATTTTTCATTTCTCATTTTTTCTATTTTATTTAAAAAAATATTTTTTCAAAAGAAAAAAAGACGACCATTCCAAATTTGTTTATTTTTTTAACTTTGTTTTTTTTCAAGTGTATTTCTTTCCATATTTTCCTAGTGTAACTACAAACAAACAAAAAATGAAAACCATTCCAAACCACTATCGCCACAGTCACCGCCACCACTACCACCGCCACCTTCAGAGTACACTTAGTGTTGTGGTCTATCTTGGCGGACATGTACTTGCTAGTTGGAATATTTGCATTTTGATAACTTTTAAATCGTTTCATCTTATTATTACAATTTTAACACTTCTCTCACGTTTCTGTTCTGCTTTTCTCTTTATTTTAAGTTTTTTTTTCCTATGTATGTATGTATGCGAGGGAGAAATAAACAGTGTTTTTTAATAGGAAATGAATTTGTTCTACAAATGTAATATGGGTGTACGTTTGTAAGTATTGCACGTAAAACTATCGAATTCTAATACTTCGGGAAGCAGAACAACTGGGAAATTATACATCAAGATGTAATGCCAACCTTTAAATTATTCCTCAGTTCTATGTTATCTAAAAAACTTTAAGGGGTCGATTTTGAAGGTTTAGGTCCCATATTCACATTGGATAGAAAAAACTGTAACTGTATGTTTGTGGAAAAATAAGATCCAAAGAACGACGAGGTATGGGCAACATCAGCAATATTCTCAGCTGTGATTTATCGAAGTGTACGAGTTTTATTTTTCATGTTACCAACTTGTCCATCATTACGATCCGACATAATCATTCATGGCGATCCAATAATGCGTTAGTTTTACGAACTTTGACTGACATTTTTATACCTCAATCTTATTGCTAATCAAGGAATCCGCTTGTTTTTGGCAAAAAGACCACCCCAGGTTGAGAGGAAAAAATGTTATATATTTCTAATCTGGGGACTTTGAGCTTTACACCAGTAAAATTTTTTATCATTGTGGCTCGCGGTTTACAAATGACCTGAGGTCAAAGTCAAAATGTCATGTTTTTTTTCTGAATAAAATTTCTATTTGAAAAATAGTATATAACCTTGAAATGTCTAAAAGATTTACATGAAATCACGGTTCATTAAAGAGGAGTCGTATATACAACTCATAAATATGACTTTGAGTTCCAGATCCTCGTGCCAAGCAGTGCCAGAGGATTTTTTTTATTAATAAAATTTTTAACAAATTTGACCGCCATAACGGTCCGACCTATTAAATGTTTACATTTTTCTTGCAGAATCGTAATCAGCGTCACCTAATATGTGATATTTGTTTATTTCATAAACCTTCTGCTCTAGTTTTGGCCAGAAAATGGAATCTCTGGCCTGTAGTGCTATGCTACGACAAAAATGTTTTTTTTTTTTCAAAATACGGTTTTAGAACCCAAATTTCATTGGACCGGGCCAACATAAAAAAATTGGTAAATCTCGTATGAGGCCAACGGAATATTGACTTTTAATAAAACATCATAACATTTATGTCAGACCTTCGTGAAATCTGAATATGGCCAACCAGTCCTGCCCTTTTGGTACATCACCAAAATTT